AGAATATAAAAAATTATACAAAAGAATTAAGAAAATTTTCTTGGTCATGTCTTGTAATTTTTTATCATTATTTATAATTTTTAAATCATTTTCTATAATTTTTTAATTATTTTTAATTAATTAATAATTAAAATTAACTTTTGTAAATGGTTGGACTACATTGTATTATTTTTAAAAGTTGTGGAGAACATTATACAAAATATGAATTTAGAATCCTAAATGTTCTTGAACTTATAATTTAAAGGTTAAATCAACCTTTAACCCAACTTTTATTCAACATGTATTTATGTTTGGATTTTTGTGAGGGAAGGGTAAATCCCCTTTTGCATGTATGTATATATATATATATATATATATATTCTTTAAGTGAATGTATATTAAAAATTTAACGAAGTTAAATTTCCTACCATCATATTACCACGAAATCAAACTTTTTGCAAACTTGGCCCAAAAACAACTTTTTGCAAACTTTTCTAGTTTTTACCCTTATGAATTATACACCAAATTTTGCTAAAAAAAAAAAAGGAATTATACACCAAATAATGCGTGGTTTGTGTATATAAAAGTAGGAATGGGCAAACCTCATCTCTATTTCTTCTCACCGAAAGAAACGTAGCGGAAACACACACACACACACAAAAGCTTAAGAGAAATGAAGAAAGAATGAGAGAGAAAATGAAGGAAAGGAGAGAGAATCCAAATAGGAACAAATCAGAGAGCTGTGTTGATTGGAGAAGAAGACCTTCCAATCCCAATAAGCATGGTGGAATCAGAGCTGCTTTTTTTGTTCTTGGTATCGCTCTATATCCATCTCTCTTCTATTTTTTTTTTTTTCCATTTCTTTTGTTTGATCTTCTTGATGATTTTTTACTTACAAAAATCATTACATATATAATCTTCGTCTTTGGTTCTTGTTTATATATCTTGTCATTGGTCTTTCTTTAAGCTTAAAATTTTAAAATCCCAGAATTTTATTGCAGCTCCTAATTTTTATTAGTTGATTGGTTGATCAAGTAAATGGCACATGGTTTGATAGTTATACTTATAATGAGTTATAAATATAGCATCAATCCTCACAAATTGAAGCTAAGAAGTTAGTTGCATCGCTTTTACATGTTATACATTGACATTATTATCAATATTGATTTATTGATAATTAAAATATCAATATATATGTAATGTTGTTAGAAGCCTTACTAACAATGATCGTAAATGATGCTCTTATTTTGGACTCTGGCGATTTCAATCATTCAAATTTATTTTAGTTCTTGATTTTATTTCTCAAATTTAATTTTTAGTAATTTAATTTTTTATATTTTCTTAAATTATCAGACTGGTACTTTATATTTTGCAATACAAATTAACTCTCAAAATAAATAATATAATATATAAAGTATATTAATTAATACTTAACATGTATGTGTAACTAAATGAGAACAAAACAAATTAACAATAAAATTAGTTTAATTTTTATTAATATTATCCCTTATACTGTGTTTTATTCTTTTGTTTGTTTTTAATTTTAAAGTTTGTTTTCGCACTTAAATACTTATACTTCTTTGCATGAATCTACATGGTTATCAATCATTTTGTTACCTATCATGTCAACAAATTTTGTGTAAATGAATTCCAATTTTAGACATTAGTTTGAATTTTATTTTTTTCTTAGGAAAAAAAAAATCTAATTTTAGACTTCTTTGTATGTTTCTCCTTCCCGTTATCAAGGTGTGTTTCATTTGATTCTTTCTACTCAAATTCGTAGTTATCTGAGCCCGATCCTATAGAAAATAAATTATCAACATACTACGTCTCGAAAAGTATTTATAGTGCATGTTTGGATTCATGTTGAAATTTAAACCACATAAATCATGGTTTTAGTGAAGAAAAAGTAACAACAAAACTATAATATTAACGATTTCTCACATAAAACCAAACATGCATATAATTGTTTTGAAATCAGTTTCATTAAAATTGATTTCTACTTTCTTGTTTTACTGTGGACAAATAATCAAATATTTAATGTTATTAGTTGTTAAATATCTCATAACATGGCTCTTTTACCGTACGTTTAGATTAATGAAGATCTGAATTTGAAAAAAATTCCACTTCTTATTATAATTCTTTTGTGATTTCAATTCTTTCTACATTCTAAAGATTTAAAATTTTAGACACTTTAAACATCTTGTTGTTCTTTTAGTGTTTTTATTATTGACATCTCTATGACTCGTATTGATCTTTTTTCATCTCTCATTGATTAAAAAATAAAGATAAATTTGTTATTCCTTATTTTTCATTTTTATTTTAAATCTTGACTCTTTTCTCTTCTTTATTTCAAATTTTTTAAACTATCCAAATAAATTTTTTTTAATTTATAGATTTTAAAATGTGATATTTGAAATGAAAGATTTTAAATCTAAAATATAGATACAAATCTATCAATTCAATTTCTATCTAAAAGTAATTCTGTTTGCTACTTAATTAACCAACATTAGTTAAATTAAATATCAATATTTCATATAGCTAAACTCTATGCCTAGTCTTTGTCAAGAATATCAAGAAAAATATGATTTTAGGGCTTTTTATTTCTATTTTAATTTTTTATTTTTAAAAATAAAAAAATTTGGGCAAGTGTTTTGAATTTAAATAATTTATTTTTACTTTTAAAAACAAAAATTAGAACATTACTTAGCTGTTTTTATTTTCTTTTCGGTGAATGGGCGTCTTGGTCCATAATAGTATTCTGAATTTTAAACTTTTAAAATAAGCAAAAATTATTTTAATTTGTAAATTTCAAGCAAATTACCTCCAACGTTAAGTTATATATAATAGCCATTACTTTTGACTTTGTGAGGCCTAATCAAAGGTTAACGTGGTATTGATTTTCTCTTGACACATGGCATGTCAACTGGATTATATAACGATTAATATTGTACAAATAAATAATGGGGGCTAATTTGCTCAGAATTTACAAGTTTAATGAAGTTTTTACTTATTTTAAAAGTTTAGGATCCCTGATATTATTCAAGTAATAATTTAAGGCTTAGGATGCTTATTAACCCTTTTTTTTCCTCCTGTTTTTAAACACACAACATTTGACTATTAATAATCACTGTCATTTAGGATTAATTAATCACTATCATAAACTATCTCCGTTAATCACTAGTGATCAGTACTATCGGCCAATATGTTAATTCTAAAATTGTTTTAAATTAATAGAATCAACTAAATTTTTATTTTATTTTGTTTTGAAAAATAATTTTTAGAAGTTAGTTTATAAAATAGGTTTTTTTTTAAAAAAAAAAGTGTGGAACAACATCAAACAAGCTCTAGACTTTCATTTTTATAAATTTTGGATTAGCTAGTTTTAATTACTTTTTATCCACTCATTAATTTTGATGGGTTGTATGCTTTTTTTTTTTTTCTGGTAGAATTGATGGGTGTGTATCAAATATATATAAGAATTGAAACGACAGGGTTTCAAGCATTTGAAATAGTGGGAATAGCAACAGTGGGAAACAACCAGATAACGTATTTGATAAACGACATGCGTTTCTCTCTTCCAATATCAGCGAACATTGTAACTAACTTCATTGGGAGTTGGGACTACCTTCCTTTTGGCTCTCCTTGGTGGGCTATCTTGCTGACTCTTTTCTTGGCAGCTTTCGACCAGTTCTCATCTTCGGCTTTCTTGAGTTTTTTGTAAGCCCTTCTTCTCTTAGCCATATATAATTAGATCTTATGGTACAAACTTTACATAGAGTTTAAATGTCTCACATTAATTTATGGATAGTACAATTTTTTATATATTTTATATTATATACAAATATAAAAATTATATAAGTGACTAAAAATAGAAACATCTTTCTATGTATCAATCTATGAAATTTGAAGTGAATTATGTAATCCATGACTTATCAATAATGAGAATCTATAGAAATTTTATATTTTTATAATAACATTGATCGATTTTAAGATATCCTTAAAATTTTAATTCTTTTTAGTTTTAATCATCAATTTTTTTTATGTTGATAGTAGAAATAATCTTCATTTCCTCTTTTTCTGGATTAAATATATATATATATACTATTTAAATTTCACTCTAATATAAAATACTAAAAGAATTTTTTTTTTTTGCCATGAAACATATAAAACTTATTCCCTCTATCTCTTTCTTAAGAATCCATTTGTCATATTAATTCCAACCTTCTTTTCAACCACGCTTGTAAAAAATTTATTGTTAAGATTGGAGTCTACAGTATTCTCTCTCAATCTCTCTTTATATAGTTCACTTAAAATGCATTAATTAGAACGAGAAATCATTTCATATGATTATAATGCCATATTATATATCACACTCAATTTGAATAAGCCTAAGTGTATATCTAGAGAATGAAAAAAAGATAAATGAAGAAAAAATTAAAAATAATTATCTATTATCATGTTAAAGGGCATTTTTGCCTATCAACTATTCATTTAGAAGCATCTAGTATACTTAACTTTCATGTAGTATAATTTTTTCTTTTAATATTTGAAAATGATGCAATGAGTACCTTGTACTAGGCACACTGGGAACAACTATTGAAGGGTACAATTTTCTATAAAAATTGTGGCCACTGCACAACAACTATGTTGAATGCATCATTTTTAAATATTGAAAAAGAAAATTGCATCATATACATAAGTTTAAGATATTAGATACTCTGAGTAAATAGTTGAATGACAAAAATATATTTTAACCCTTCATTATTCATTTGATCTAAATTGTTCTAATAAATTAGAATACAAATAAAATGACATTCTGAGAGCACATAAAAGAAATCTTTGTTATTTATTTTAATTTATATAATACATATGGTTCTCTATTTTCATGATAAGGTTTCATATTATTATCAATACAAGCTCATGTTCCTCAACTAAAGCCACCTAAATGCACAAACATAAATGGTAAATGCCAAGAAGCAAAGGGGATAAAGGCTGCAATGTTCTTCTTAGCACTATACATGGTGGCACTGGGAAGTGGGTCTGTGAAGCCTAACATGATAGCTCATGGAGGAGACCAGTTGAACCAAAACAACCCTAAGCAAATAAAGAGCCTCTCAACTTATTTCAACTTTGCCTATTTGCATTCTCAGTGGGTCAACTTGTTGCCCTCACTCTTCTTGTTTGGTTCCAAACCCACTATGGCATGGACATTGGTTTTGCTGTTTCTGCTGCTGCCATGGCTCTGGGGCTTGTTAGCTTCATGTGTGGAACTTTGTTTTATAGGAATAGGACTCCACAAGGCACCATCCTCACTCCCATTGCTCAAGTATGAACAATCCTGTCTGACTATATATTTTTGCTCATTTTTATGAATTAATGGTAGTAGTTTAATGATTATATCAGACATATATTTAAAGAGCGTTTGTTTAAGATTAAGACTAAGAGGAGAAAATTTATTTTAGTTAAGCTAAATGAGGGAGTTGCTAGGAGGCCTATAGGTTAAACATGAATGTTTTGTTGGGGGAGTTACTCTTTTAAGCGTATTGTGTTAAGCTATTCCAAATACTCCATTCCTTTGATATTATAGAAGTGCTTTATAAGACTAACCAGAGAGAGTAGCTTATTTAAAATAAGGTAAAAAATTTTTTTTATCTCATATTTAATTACCCAAAATTTCTCCCAATCTTATTTAGCTTAACTAAATAATTTTTTCTTAACCTGCCCTTAATTTTGGAGTAATAATTTATTCATAGTTTGTGAGTATATAAAAGTTGTCATGTGCTGTTTGGATGAGCTGACATTTCATTGAGGTTTGTATGAGACAGATTTGATATTGGACATACAATTAAAAAAAAAAAGAAAACTAAAGTTAATTTAGTCTAAAAATGTGTAGATTATATTCCAGCAATTCAATCTGAATTAAACTATACAATAAGTAATGCCATAACCTTCTAGGTTTTGTGGCTGCAATATTAAAGAGAAAGGTTCATAGAGACCAAACCAATAATGTTGGCCAGTCTACTAGCTTACTTGGAGACGGTCTGGGTCACACGAAAAAGTTCAGGTACTTCTACTGGCTTTCTGTCTTTCTATTTTATCTTTAATAATTTTTATTCTTAATATTTTGAGTAAATATGTTTAAAAAAGTAATATTTAAACACTTGAAAAATGAATTTATTAAACACAGTACTTACAGAGATAGGAGCCCACTTCTATCTCCCTGTCTCTATAATTTTACTTCCCTCACATGCTTCAAGATCATAGATGGGAATACAATCTCAGCAAACACACACACACACATAAATGCGGCGCTTTTCAAAAGCGCTGCCAGTGACACAGGCGGCGCTTTAAACTGCCACAGACAAAAAAAAAAAAAAAGTTGCTCTTGAAGAGCATGGGTTTTTTCTAATTAGTCATTTAATTTCTATCACTTTAAGCCCCATGGAAATAGAAATAGGCCCTAGCTCTCTTTATTTCTCTCTTTTTTCTTGACTAGAATATTTTGGATTCTTACAAAACCTGAAAATATTATTACCATCTACCTAAATTAATTTAAAACCCTCACTATATGGGACTATTAAGAAGGCTTTTGGCATTTTTGTTTAACACAGCTGCATGCCTTAGGGCTCAAAATTGAGATTTCAATATCTTAACTAGTGAGCAAGCATCTTTTTGTAATTTTTTTGATTATGTTCTTACATAAATCACAATATGCTCAAATGCATAGAATTTACCCTTATTTTAGGTTTTTGGGCAAAGCATGTATCAAAGTCCAAGGTGAGACTAGTCCAGAGGAAATTCCATGGAGATTATGCAGCATTATTCAAGTTGAGCAAGTGAAGACATTACTCTCAACCATCCCCATCTTTGCCTGCACATCTTCAACACAATCCTAGCTCAACTCCAGACATTTTCAGTCCAACAAGGATCTTCCATGGACACCCATCTTTTTAGAACCTTCCAGATTCCTCCAGCTTTCCTCCAAAGCATCCTTACATGTTTCTCATTCTCTTGGTCCCTCTCTATGACACTTTCTTCGTCCCTTTTGCCAGAAAACTCACAGGCAATGACTCTGGTATCTCCCCTTTAACCAGAATAGGGTCTGGCCTCTTTGTAGCTACTTTTTCCATGGTCTCATCATCTTTAATGGAGAAAAAGAGAAGAGATCAAGCTCTGAACTTCAACCAAAAGCTTCACATTCTTTGGATTACACCAGAGTTTTTGATTTTTGGCTTGTCTGAGATGTTTACAGCAGTGGGACTCATTGAGTTCTTTCACAATTACAGTCCAACATGAAAGGAATGGAGACATTCTTGACTTCAATCACTTATTGTTCATACTCTTTTGGGTTTTACTTGAGGTCAATTTTGGTTTCTCTGGTGAATAAGATCACTAGTACAAGTTCTTATGGTGGGTGGCTTCATGAAAATGATCTGAACAAAGATAGGTTGGATTTGTTCTACTGGCTGCTTGCTGCTTTGAGCTTTCTCAACTTCCTCAACTATTTGTTTTGGTCACGATGGTATTCTTCTAGAAAATCTCAAGATCGTGAGTGATGCTAGAAATAATTAATCTTGGAGATTATTTATACTTTGTAACTTCATTTTGAGTAAAATTATACATATGCATAGTACTCTTCCTAATGAGATTGAAAATATATATGTTGATGTATATTTATATTAAGGCATTGACTAAATTTTATGATGCCGCTTGGAGGAAGATCTTTATAGCCATACCTTTAATTTAGGGAGAAAGAAGGCATGATGGAATATTGACATGATTTGTGTTATATATTGATAGCAATCTTGCTAATTGTGTACCACTTAAATCAATTTTTTAAGATTTTGATTAGAATAATGTTAATCCAAGTTTTAACTATACATGTTGTTCAGTCTTTTTCTTAAATCAATGCTACGTGTACTATTTATTGGTGATTCTATTCAAAATTTATTATTAAATTAATTCATGGTTACAGTGTGTTAAATAATTATAAAAATAGCAAAAAACCATGTTTATTTTTGTTACGTAAAACAAGTTAATAAAAGTTTTATGTCTTTTGCTCTCAAAAAATAATTTTAATAAAAAATTAATTAAGTGTTATTTTTGTTCAAACTGATTGATTTGATTTGATTCATATTTTGATCAAAATCAAACCAAACCATATCTTTTATCACTTTTACACTTAATTTATTTTTTTATTAATTAAGATTGATTTGGTTCAGCTTTTAGGAAGTTTGGTTCAATTTGATTTATACATAGATCGAGTTTTAATATTTTTTTTAACAAAGAAAATCATATATTAAGGCTAAATATAGTTTTTCACTCTCAGTTTTCCTAATATACATTCCAACAATCCAACTTTAAGTCATATAATCGATTTTATCATTCACGAGTGGAAATAAACATCATATCCAAGATAAAAATATTCAAAACAAACATTAAAGTATATGCATTTGTAAGCAATATGAGTTAAATTTTTATTACAAATTCTCTTAATGCCTATAACAAAAAGTAACTCATTTTAAATAAAAAATTATATCTAAAATTATTAAAAGATCACATATTGTTGAAGTAACTTGAGTATAGGCATTTTCCTCTCTAATAGAAAAATTAAGAAATGAAGGATTAGGGATTCTATTAAATATTTTGAGTTTGAGCTGGACTTTAATTGAATTTAAAATTAAAAAAATAGATACTAATAGTCTATATAGAAGGTATGATTCATGTCTGGTTAAAATTTTAAAGAAAAAATATTGAAACTTAAACCAAATTATGTGAGTTTTAAATTTATAAAATCAAAACAAGCCTTACTAATAATTGATTTATTCAATTTTTATTGAATTCGTGTGGTGTGGTCAATCATCAGTTTTATTCAATTTTGCCCACTCTTATCAAATGTTATTGTTTTTTTTTAATGTAAAGAGTTCTAAAATAAATCTTCAAATAGTTTTAAAATGAGAAAAATAATTGTATGTATAGTGAATTAGTGAGTGGCATATGTGTTGGAAAAAAAAAATTAAAAGTTATTTTCGTCCCTCAACTTTACTCAAAGAGTTATTGAACATTTTAAATTTAATTATGAATTAATTTTATTTTTTAACATTAAAAATTTCTTTCTTTATTACTTTGTCATTTTGTCACCATCTATTCACATTAGTAGGCCTCACATTTTATTTTTTTAATATTTTTTATATATAAATATATGAGTTGATAGTACCCAACTGTTTTGGGTAAAAATTGAAGGATAAAAATGACCCTTAACTTAATAAAAATTAATAAAATATATTTAAAAATGGTGAGACTCACTAATGACAAATAGACTCTAGGTGTTTTAATGTGAGGATAATGAGAAAGAAAATTTTTGACATTGAAAAATAAAAATGACCTATATTTAAGTTTAGGATACCTAATAATCATTTAAGTAAAGTTGAGAAGTAAAAATGACCATTGATCCAAAAAATAAACCTACTATATCAAGTATCAAGCACTTGAACAACACGACTGCGTTCGGTGCTTAGCATTGTGTGTTCACCAGCCCAAAAGCTTATTTGGTTCCTCCAATTTATTCCAAAATTATTTTTGTTGTTCATTGTAAATTAATTTTTAGGTATTTGTAATATTATATTTGTCAAACTAAAAGTTTTAAAAAAATTAATATTAAATTTATAATATTCAGAATATATCTAAATAATTAATTTATAAAAATTATAAAAAATTTTAATATTAAATTAAACTATCTTTATATTGATAATATTAAAACTACACAAGAACAATCAATTAATATACTTAAAATAATCCGTTCAAATTAAATTTATACTAACTAAATTGATGAAGAATAAATTTATTTAAAAAATTTAAATTTGATAGAAATAAAAAAATTAAATTTAAATAGTTGAAATTTTATTAAGAATGATGAGGAATTTGATATTTAATTTTCGGTGAGCACCCAAGATTGTCTGAATTTTATTTTATTAAATATAATATTAAAAATACTTAAAAATTAATTTAATATGGTAGGAAGAAATTATTTGAGATAATGAGAACAACATATTAATTTTTAACATTTTCCCGAACATTCCTTCACCGAAAGTCCATCTTCTCTCTCTCTCTAGACAGTCCCAGATGCTTCTCTCTCTTTCCTTTGGTCTGGAAAATCTCAAGAAAATTCCAGAGACCCAAACACACATCTCCTCCTGCTGCTATATAAGAACCTCATCTTTCTCGTTCGTCTCCGCCATACAAACATCATTAACTCATCGTTACTAAATCCACGTTGAATCCAGTTCTCGCGTACTCGATCGTAAAACCCAAACAATGGCTTCCAGAACTTTGATTTCCAGTTTCCTTCTGATAGCATCAATGTCGTCCCTTTTCTTCCACACCAGCGAAGCCCTAATCCCCTACACGAGAAGCGTCTGGGACACAATGTTCCCATCGGAGGATCCATTCAGGATCCTCGAGCAATCTCCGCTCAACATTCCTCGAAACATGGAGACGCCGCCTCTGGCTCTGCTGGCACGCGCCGATTGGAGGGAGACGCCAACGGAGCACGTGATCGCGGTGGACATTCCAGGGATGAAGAAGGAGGACGTGAAGATCGAGGTGGAGGAGAACAGGGTAGTGAGGATAAGCGGCGAGAGGAAGGAGGAGGCGGCGGAGGTGGAGGGAGAGAAGTGGCACAGAGCCGAGAGGACGAACGGAAAGTTCTGGAGACAGTTCAGAATGCCATTGAACGCGGATCTGGATCACATCAGAGCGAGGATTGAAGATGGCGTTCTGAGAATCGTTGTGCCGAAGCACAAAGAAGAGACGAAGAGACGGCCTAGAGTGATCAACATCGCCGAGGATCAAGCTGCTTCTGGAGAAGATGTTAAGGCTACGAAGGCTTCAGTGTAAGAACATCAATGGAACGTGGAAGAAGATATGAATATGAATTTTGATGCACATACAGCTTTATCGGATGCTAAGTTTAATTCGTTGTCTTTTATGTTCGTGAAGTTTTTGTTAAAATCTACTGATGCTGAGAGAATAATTTTAAGGAATAAAGAAATTACTGCGTGACAAGTTTGTTACTTCTGATGATCTTGATGTTTAAAACGAAGAAAGAAATGTGTGCTTGAATATTTTTACGTATGCTGGATAGGTTGTGTGTTGTAAATTATAAGATATTTTTAAAAAAATTTTATATATTAATAAATTTTATTGAATGTATTTTATAATTTATTTTTTAAAATAAAAATAAATTTTTAAAAATATTTATTGTTTAATATTTTAAAAAATAAATTAATTATTACATTTAAAATTTAATTTATTTAAAGTTTTTCATAATTTAAATTTTTTTAAAAATATTATATAATTTGAGATGAAATTAAAAAATTATAAAATATTTATGTCAATGTTGACTCCATAATTGTGAGAGAGAGAGAGAGAGAGAGAGAGACTATTAATTAATAATTAACTTGATTATTTTCAAAATAATGGTGATTCAATTAAAAGATTTTGATTAGGAGGATTAATACTTGAAAGTAAAAAAAATATGTAACATTTTAATTTTAAAATTAATGACTATAATAAATTGTTATTTAAAAATTCAAATGACAATAAACGTATAACTAGTAGCTACTCTAATTTTGTCTTCTATTTGGGATCAGAAATTGGAAAAGTATGTGTTTGTGTTGTCTGTTATAATATTAATTACGTGTTTTGTTTATGTTTAAAATTATTAAAATTTTGGTTTTAATGGAAATAAACCATTTTGTGCTTTCATTAAAATTGTAGTTTTGACTATTTTTATGATGAAATCAAGCATTTTGTTATGTTGCTATGTTGATAATAGGGGAAATGTTAACTAGAATTTGATAGATGTTGGATAAAATGTCTATGTTGTTCTTGAGGAGGTTCATGTAAAGTCTTTTAAGTTCGTAATGTGATGAAAGAAAGTGTTGATCTGGATAACGATGCTAGTTGAATAATTAATTTGTTCTTTTTTTTTTTGTTCTTGAGGATTTATGGTATTTTGTTGCTGTTTTATTTACTTTCTACCCATAAACGTCATATTAAATTTTAAGAACTCAATTTGAAATATTGTCATTAAATTTTTTTTAAAAAATTATGCTTCTAAGTATTTCAGTAATGCTTTTTCCTTAAAAAAAAAAAAAAGACAAAGTGTGCGAGGCTGGAAAGAAGGTCGTACTGTCCTGTTGCCCACACCCCATAACATTTTCGTTTCTTTTCCTTTTTATTTTAATATGATAATCAATCCCCATTAATTTTGATAAGGCTGATTTTTTTTACAA